CCCCCCCCTCCCCTTCTCCCCATTTGGCAAGGCCCCTGTCAATGTCGAAGCCAAGTTTCACGTCAGCCACCTCCGCTGGATCGTCCTCGGGCGGCTACATCCCGGCCTCCCCCTTGCCGCCGCTTATCCCCCTGTCAGTGGCCGCTGGCGCCCGGGACCTGGACAACGGCTCACCCCCCAGCAGTCCGGAGCATTACCGATCCTCGTCGGACTCCTCGCACTCGTGGGGCGAGCAGGCACATGATCCGCGCTTCGACCTAGCCTCGGCCCCGGCCAGCCAGCAGCAGCAGCAGCAGCAACAGCAGCTGGAGGCCTCCTTCGCCGCGTCGGCCAGCGCCTTCCTCCCGGCCATGTCCTCCCGGTCCATCAGCGGCTCGCTCGGGGCGGACACCTCATCCCAGGCGGCCGAAACATCCACCTCCCAGGCGGCTGCCGCCCCGCCGCCCCTCGCGCCCGGCGACGCTGGCCCCCTGAACAAGCTTCCCCCTGCCCACCTGGAGGACCTGATTGTCGCACACTCGGCCGAGGATCCCCTCCTGGTGGAGGCGCTTGAATTCCACCGGTCTCCCTCGTCCTTCGGTGCGTTCCTTTCCCTCCCCCCGCCCCCCTCCCCCCGATTTCACCGCCCGACCTCGCTCCTGCTTCTGTGCTTCCCTCTCTTGCTTGCCCTTTTTTTCTTTTTCCGTCTCCCCTAATTCCGCGTCCCCTCTCCCCTCCTGTGGCTCAGCTCCCGTCCATGTGGAGGACATTATCTCGCAGCTCCTGCGGCGCGTCATGAAGGACCCTGTCCCGACAAATGTTGCTCCTTCCTTCCCTGCGTCACCCCTGCAAGGCTTCCGCCTGCTATGTGAGGACGAGATTGTCAACCTCCTGGCGCATCCGGTCCCGCCGGAGGACAAGCTCCATCCTTACAAGGACTTCTTCAGGCAGATTGGTTCCACGGTCGCCCCGCCACAGCCCCCCGGCTACCAGCCCTCCCCACATGAGGCGGCTCTGCGGCTGATCGGCATCAACACCATTATCGACTCGCTCCAGCGTGGCGGGGACTTGCGTTTCATTGGCGAGTGCATTGGCCATCGGTACCCGCCCCCCCCCTATGCCCCTTCTCTTCTCTCTTTCTCTCCCTCTGGAGATTGATTTGCTGACGCGGCGCCGCCCGGTGTCCTTCCTCCCTTCCCCCATCCTCCCCTCTCGCAAGGCATCCCTTCTTCATCCACTTGATGAATTGCTTCCTCCAGCGCTTTGACTTCTTTGGGCTTGGCATCGTCGAGGCTCTGAGGTCCGTGCCTCCCTTTCCGCTTGCTCAAGCACGCTTGTCGCCCCCTCCTGCACCATGCTCCTCCCGCATGTACACTCGCCCCCCACTGTGCCACCTGCACA